GGTTCTTTACACCATGGTATTTCATAGGTGCTAATAGGCTGTGTTTCTATTTTCAAAGATAAGCCTGTGGTGAAAGGCTAGTAGTACTTTGTCTTACCTATCTGGTGAACTCTTCATAGAATCATAGAATGGTTTGGGTTGGAAGGGACCTCAAAGATCATCTAGTCCAACCCCCGCTGCCATGGGCAGGGACACCTCCCATTAGACCAGGTTGCTCCAAGCCCCATCCAGCCTGGCCTTGAACACCGCCAGGGAGGGGGCAGCCACAGCTGCTCTGGGCAACCTGTTCTGGTGTCTCACCACCCTCATTGTAAAAAATTTCTTCCTTAGATCAGCCTGAACCTGCCCTCTTTTAGTTTGAAACCATTACCCCTTGTCCTATCACAACAGGCCTTGCTAGAAATACTGTCCCCATCTTTCTCATAAGCCCCCTTTATGTACTGAAAGGCAGCAATAAGGTCTCCCCACAGCCTTCTCTTTCCAAACTGAACAATCCCAACACTCAGGCTAGCTTTTACTGCCATTATCACAGAGAATCAGGAATTTTTGGGTTCTAATCTCCAGTAAGCCTGGTTTATCCTACATCAACCACTATTTTTAAGAGACGACAGATGGAAGAATATAGCTATACATTCACTAAACATTTATAATAGAATGTTAGGTATGCTTCTAATAGTTGCAAGCTGTCTGCTACGTACACTGAGCATACACCAAAACTTTCTGTATGGAAATGACAAAAATTTACTGATTCAATTTCCTGAAAATTTGCTTGAAGAAAGTCCAGGTGATCAGGATCAAAGAGCAAAGTTGCAGTTTTAGATAGATATTTAGAACAAGAGCTCTAATCAAGGGGGAAAGCTTTCTTCCAAAAAGTGGTGTTGGGTACCTGAGACCATAAAGTTGGACTTTAAGAATCAGATGCAAGTCCTAGCATATGACTTTACAAAATGTATTTTAAGCTGATATCATGCACTGTATACTTAAGCATATAATCTATTTTAAGACATTTCTACAAAAAAAAATCATAGTCAAATGCAACGACTAGCATTTCTACAATTGCAGGAGGGAAAGATAACGACTGGAAAAAAAAATTGAATTATACAGCATTTCTCTGTAGTCTTATCACATCAGTTTCATCCTTATTACAATTTTCCATGGATTTGGCAAATTTTATAGACTACTAATAAAGTCCAGCCTCAGTAAAAGAAAACAGAAATGGGAACCCTTAAAAATTCAGAGAACAGGTAAGCCAGATGCCTAGATATTTCCTTACTACACCACAAATGTACCTATGACTAGCCCATACTTGGCCACCTAAACACGTTGATGTTTTTTGTTTTGTTTTAAACTGGCACTAAAGAAATGCACACCTAGACAGTTTCATTATAAAACATAAGAGGAATATCCACATATGTATACTTATATTTCTCTTTTATCACAAACTATAAAACTATCACCTATGTGATTAAAAACCTATATTACTTTCTTTGTGAAATAAGGCAGCTGCCTAGAGGCAAGCTTAACCTTTAAGCAGCTTTTTTCAGGAAATATTTTAAGAGTTCAGCTCTAAAGTCTTGCTTCTCCAAACTAAAGTGCTCCAGCAGGTATGAAAAAGAGGTGTAAAATTAAAGCACTTCTTTGAAATCACTGAAAACATCTGGATATACTTGATCACACCAAACTATACTGGAAACAATATACAATGATAGATTTTCCCACTTTACTTATCTGTGAGGGTTAAAAGCCTGTAACTAGCACTGAAAACAGACACTACCAAACTGTTAAGAAACGCCGTCTCAAATTGAAGTTAAAAATGTGACTTGGTATGCCTGTTACCTATCAGTGAGATACAGAGACGCTATTTAAATTCTATGTCATTTCATCACAGGGCATTCACCAAATAAGAATATATTCCCTCTTATATATCAAAACTTATCTTTGTCCAAAAACAACAAGCAGAAGAAAAATACTTACTTACCTATAGTGATGTACAACATTAAGGCTACAAATGAAAGCTGCAGTTGTTCCACACCGATACATGAAAGCCTTTAAAGTGTATACTATCTAGTTATTTATATTATCATAATTTTGTCATTGTTATTTGTATTCTGTTTCCACGGTAGTTTCGAAAAAACACAAATGTGGCTCATTCTTGCAGATAACATTCCAAAGCGCTTAATATTAAAAGCTTTGAAGGATTTCTCTAACTCAGTGTTAAAAATGATGTAAAATGGAATGCAAAAATGATAGTAAAATAAAAAGTATGCCTTAAAATAAAGCTCATTTTAAACTCATTCTCTCCCAAAATTACACAGGACAATGTATTGATATGACTCCCTTAGTTTTTAAAAAATTCCAAGAGAGCATGCACAGCAACTAATTCACTATCTCCTGCCAACAAAGCAGGTGGACTAAATGCGATTTTATTGATTTATTTGAAAGCTAAGATTCTCACTATCTTCTAAGGTTTTCAGTACAGTTCAATTAAAATGAGACTGCTCAGATTGCCAACATTTCTAGAAAAAATATAGTTCAGTAATAATCTTGCTGTAGGAAATGTTTTGGGGATTTTTTTAAGTTTCTAGCTTCCCAATGTTGAGGGACAGTTAGACAGAACTACACTTAAAGAACAAAGGTGAACACAAAAATGAAGGTAACGGTGGGGGAGGAATCACTTAAAACCCCCTTAATTTCCCTAAAAGTCTGCACTTCTGCCTCCCAGGTGACTCTCAAAATAGATGCAAACTTAATAAAGCAAAAAGCTGTAATTACTTTTAAAAATATGTTAATTAATTTCTCAAACTGGAAAAGCCTTTTCCTACCACAATCCCGCCTCATCTGCTGCCTGTTTAAAACCCACTTCCAGACAGCACAACATGTTCTTCATAATAAAAAATAGGATCACAGAAGGTGTGAAAGTAAGAGTGATGATGATTTGCCAAGATATTAATTTTCATATTTTGCCTGGTATTTCTGACAGCCATAACAGTGGTGTAAATTAATTTTCTGAGCAGAGATTTATGAATGGTGCTCCACATTTTAAGGGTTGCAGTTACAAGTAGAGGCTTCTGTATCTTTTTCCTAATGAATGCTTCCTTGTACCCAGCAAGATAGAATACCAAGATTATGAAAAAGGAAAATTACATTGATGAGATATTCAGTCAGGTTATTATTTTTGTTAATATTAAATGTTACAGCTTCACCAAATTTGAAAGAAATCCATCAGATTTCTTAAGCTAAGGAGCACCTAAAGCCTTTGGCTGAATTCCCAAAAGAATCCATATTGACATGCAATAGATTAAAGAGGAAGCAATGTTTGATATTGAAAATTATCTCAATACCAGACGACATATACTATGTTCATTTCTGCCCTTTGTTTTATCATTCCAATACAATCATTTTGCAAAACTGTGTGATGTAAATTTTACATGTGGTGCTCTAATAACGTACTGTCACTCCTATTAAACAGTTTTTCCCTCAAGTCTTGAAGTTTTCAGGAACCAAGAAATAGATTCTACAAAGTATTCTTTCCCTCTTCATTTCTCTTACATCATAAAAAGATAAAAGATATCCTAATGAATGTACTTTATATCAATTTAACTAATACATTTCAGTAAAAAACAAACACCATTTTTATTTTTAAACATTTCTTTTTTTTTAAATAGGTCTTTCAGCTAGCTAGAATATAGACTTCCTTTAAAGTAGAAAAGGGTATTGTGATGAGTAAGAAATCTGCACATCACTTGTCAATTAAATTTGTATAAAAAGCAAAAATAAAGACAGAGAAAGTTTAAATATTGGCAACATCAGTTCTATTATACTACTTTTTAGAATATTGTAAGATTTTTTTTGGCACAGCAACTTAGTTTTCTTAAGGGGTTTTTGTTATAAAAGCATTTCATTTACTACAGTAGTAGCAAGGTAATTAAACAGTAAGCAATTAAGAATAAATGCAATTATAGAAAGAGAATGATACGACATCCTCATACTTCATTCTCTGAAAATTCTACCACGAAACTTTCATCTGTTTCCAAAGGTATGTCCAAAACACTGAAAATAAATAATAAGCAATGTATCTCCCCCACCTCCCCGCCCCCACCACTCCCTTCTCAGTATGAATCACAACTTGAAATATAAAATGCAATAAAATTCCTACCTCTTTCATTGAGACTGTTTAGCACTGCCCTTTCAAGCTGTTCTTGTTCAGTAAGCCCACCTGTATAATCATAATAGCTCCTTGGCATTCTGTATTGATAACCTGAATAGCCATAATACTCTGTAAAATGAACACAAAATAAAGAAAATAAACTGCTGCTACTCAGTAGAAGACTGTGAAATCAGCTATTATCTTTATGCTATCTTTCTTCCACTAATTATTTTGAGAAAGACAAAATTACTAGAATTCAATTACTTATACAATATAGGCCATGAATCAATTTCTAATTTCCAAAGTCAGACTAACAGAAAAAAAAAAGGATCAAACATCTCAGTTTTTTATGATTGTTGCAAGTGTCATAGAATTGCCATTACATTATTAAGTCGTTTCACATAGAAAGACACTTTTCATCAGTTCCTTTTAACATTTAATTGTCAATACCTGGACACCTTATTAACGTCACTAGAACAAAACAACAGAACAAGTAGGTTACAGGCTTTTTCCCACCCGTCTCTCCCTTCCCCACAACGTCCACAAACAATACATACCAATGTCATCATAAATTCAAGTAATGTTTGGACCTAGAAAACACATGGGAAGAGATTCCCACAAATTTTTGCAGTAATATATACAGATAATATTGTGCTCTTGCACAGCTACATCTGCCCTGGAAAAAACCTCCACACCATAGATGTCCTCTAACATCACAATCACTGTACGTTGCCTGCACTACTGACAACCATTTGCAAAGTTTGTCAAAACCAAGCACAAACCATCATCCAACCCAAAACATGGGATTTAAAATGACATTTAAAAAAACATGGCTAAAGAATTGAGCGAGACTCTCTTCCTTTTAACACAATCTGATCTTGTCTGAGCACAGAAAATCTAAGCTGAGAAAAACTAGAGAGAAAAGTCCCATTTTTCTATTCCATTTTTGCATCTTCAAAATACAAAGCTTTGGGTGATATTTTAACTTCTCTTTGAGACAGCTGGACAGGGGATTTTGAAGAACCAAAGTACAGAAAAATTGCCAGTTTCTTCCAAACAACAGAAACTGAACATAAATTTTTCAAAGTGGAGTATCTAGAATTATTCTTGTATGAAACAAACACAGCATGCCATTTCCGCTTATCTTCAGATTATTAGCATCAATGATAGTCTTATGTTATCTCATTAGTTATATGGATTCCATGTGCAACCTTCTTGTGGAGTTTCTGTGATTAGTAACAAGCACAGACTATGAAGTGAGGACATATAAATAATTTCTTTTTAAAATGATTGTGTTAAAGAAATAAAATCCCAAGTTCCAGAATCTTAAGACAAATAAAAATAGCAATACCCAACTTGAAGTTATACAGGAAAAGCAGGAAAAATTGAAGAGAGACTGCACACTATTCTATACAGGAGTGTATATACTCCTCTGTGTGTATTATGCAAATATACCTACATATACTTTATATACGTGTATGTGCACACAGATGTATGTATACCTACACACATTATACACACACAGATACAAAAATGTAATTCTGTCCATATGCAAATTTTTCCTTTTTGGAACGTACAGCTGACATCAGGAGAATTTTCATACATCTGCAGTGAACACTTCGTATTATCCTCCAGTAACCTCAAATTCTGCCATTTCTCAAATGATCTGCAACTCCTCTGGTTAGGAAATAGTATTTTGGTGTTTTAATCTGTATGAATTCCAGTCATATTTTTAACAAACTTTAAAAGCCTTTAAGTCATACTGGCTATGTTTAAGAGACATAATTCTGCAGAAAAATAAAACTGACTGCTGGATACCATTCAGCTGTACATATATACACACATGTACACTTCGGATGCAATCTTCATATATTCCCTTTGTTCCCCTCTGTATTATGCTAATCTGAATGAACACTTTCCTCGGTTATAAATTTATTTTCTGGAGGCTTCAAAATTGCATGCATGAAGACTATAAAAATGCTGGTACTAAAAGCATGAACTTATCTGACAAAAGAAAAAGGATGTATTTTAATTTTGTTCTATTACTTCAAATTTTTCTACATTTGATGTTCTAACTGTCATCAAGTTTTAAGTGCTCAGAAAGCCTTAATCTTTTACTTTACAACGAGAAACAGTTCAGTAACATCACCACATTCAAGGTGTTCCTATTAATCAAAATAAATGTCCTACTACTTTATTCATGAACGGCATTTAGAGAAAATCTAATTCAGTTACTAAATACTAAATGTGTTAAAATTATACTTAAAATAATTTTTTTCTTCTAAAGCTATTTCCTTGTACTGTTTCATAAAAGCCGCTCTGATAATAACTTCATCTATTTTTCTACTTAAATAGGTACTTGAAGGCAGATAGTAATAAATCAGCAATACCAGAAAATGAAAAGTTAATTAAGATATGCATCATTAGCCTATGACACTAGAGAGTTTTTTCTTAATTCACAGATGGATGAATTTATTACATATATCATATACCAAGCAAAAGGTTAAATCTTCCGTAAAGACTTCTGCAAATAGGATGAAAGACAATTACAAAGCGTATACACAGGGAATGAACATAACAAATATATTTTTTTTAAACTGCAGTTGTAAGCCATTTTAGAGAAATTAATTTAGTACAAAAAAATAAATGTAGTTACATCTAATGCCAAGCTTGGAAGACAGGATAATTCAGGTTAACCCTCTCCTTTATCTTCCTTTTGTCCACAAAAACTCAAAGCAACAGCATGGCTACTTTGGGGACTACCCAAGACATGCAAAAAACCCCAGACTTCCTTGTTGTCAGTATACTGAAGTTTTCTGTCTCAGATGCTGTGTAGTCCCCCATCATGCCAGATACATTACATGCACTCTCTTCCCTTTTCCCTGCTTAGGAAGAGCTGGAAAAGAGAAGTAAAAGGCTATCCTGATCCTATTCCACAAGGGTGGTCTTTTAAACCCACCCAAGCTCCAAGCAGCTGGTGTACAGTGGCTGCAATAGATTATGGAGTTTAAATGTCAAGTACAAATTCTTATCTTCATTAGCCACTAAAGTACCTTTTCCAACATAAATCTTTAAAAGTTACCATCCACTCTGCTATACTGGAACACCGCTAGAAGATTTAGTGTCTATGAATGTGGAAAGCAGAGCAATGTGAGCAGCACACCCAGGCCCTGGCTGACTGGCCATCTAGCTAGGTGAACAACTTTAACTGGTCTGAGACCGCCAGTCATGGAAACAAGTAGCCCATGCTCACTACATAGTCTATGTTCACATCTTACTTCATTTCACAACACGAATTTTGTTTTTTTACTTTACCGGCCTTTAGAACAAGTGTTTGTTGACTTGAGAACTGGAATAATGGAAATCCTAGGTAAACACACTTTTAAGTTACAACAACCCTTGTTGCCCTGGTAAGGAAAGTAGGTTAAGATCTTTTGGTCAGGAATTATAAAACAAATGCTTCAAATACATTCAAGGGCCCACAATCTCAGTTGTGGGAATTATTTAATGTAATAATAAAATTGGAGGTAGATCATGGAAGACAAAATCAATCATGGAGAATAAAAGCAGCACTAACCTTGGCTCACTGTAAGCACATCTCACTTATAACAAAAAAAAAAAAAAAAAAACCCTGCATGACTAAACACCAGAGACGAGGAAAAATGATCAAATGTATCAAACAGTTTTCATTTAAGCAACCATAGAGACTACAACTTTTCAACCTGAGACAAGTGCTATATAACTATAAAGAACATGAAGGAAGTCCATAAAGAACAAAGGTTTAGTTTCCTTCCCAGAGAACAGTTAATGCGCATCAAATGAAATTAGCAGCTAGCAGCTTCAAAACAAACAAAAATGACAGATTCTACACCAGGAAGTAAACTGTGAAATTCTTCTTCTGTGATGCTGTAGGTGTTAAAAGAGTTCATGCCAACTCAAATTGCTCTTGACATATTCATGGAAGAAGAATCTATCACAGGCTATTAAAGAAAAATTCCCCCATAAAACTTTCTGCTGAGAACATCCTTAAGCCAAAAGCTACTGCACACTGGCAAATAGTTGAGGGAGTTATCACTATATATTCATCCTGTTCTTACAGCAGATGCCTAGGAAGAAGTGTAAGTCACTGCAGGAGATAAGATATACTAGGCTATACATCCCTTTAGCTTTGATCCAACACAGCCCTTCTCACAGCTGGGCTCCTCTTCTGTCCTTCTCAGACAAGGCTTCCACCTATTATTTCTATACACTCCACATATGTTCTGCACAAGACGTGAATCAAACGTGCTACATTCAAAGTGTGCCAGTATTCCGACTATCCATCCATATACAGTGAAGATAGCCTAAATTTATTCTGTTGAGAGTGGGCTTTTTGCATGTAAATTACTTGATTACAAGAAGTGTTCAAAGAAGTTCCCTGCCAGAGGCGGAAAAAAAAAAGCCATCCTAGAATGGAACTGATAAATTTGCCAGATCAGGGCAGATTTACCAAGGTTCAAAGGGCTGCTTTCAGTAGACACAATCTCCCCCTGCTACACCTTCTGCAAAAGGGACGGTATTTCCCCAGGGTAGCATTTTATGAAGTCATGACCTTAATTTGAGCTTTAAAGCCTCTTGTAGAAAATACATCCATACAATTCCCTAAAAAGGAAAGGTGAGACATGGCCAGAGATGTAATATAAGTTCAGCAAGTACACATATCTGCAGATTATTTTGTATATTATATATGTTTCCATTTAACTATAGGTTTTCTATCTTAGCGAAAATGATTTTTAAAGCTAGAATATGTTTTCAGGCAAGTGGCTGAAAATACTTACCTGAATAGTAGTCCCTTGGCCTGGGAGGGTCAGTGAATGAAGAAACGCCACCTAAATAAGAATAACGCATGTACTATTAGAATAATTACATTGTCTTGTCTTTATAAAATACAAAAACAAAATTTAAAGTACTCTTTCCTTCAGAATCCATTTCATAAGATACAGACATGAAACCATGAGTATCTATGAATTTTTTTTGGCATCAATGAGAGAATATATTATGGGTAAGCTTGTATGTTGTTCCAGATTTGGCAATAGTGTGCCATGTTTAAGCAGTATATCCATGTAGACTAGAAAAACGCAAACCAACCTAACAAATGTTCTCCAGAACATATAATGAATAATTTCTGCACTGAGACTGTAGATTGGTAAAATGGGTTAATGCACAGAAATCTGAGGACTGGAATAACACTGCACTGTTTCTGCTCTGCTACATAGGAGAAAAGGATGACCTGTGTACTGGAACACTCTCTCCACGTCTTAGTCACACAGCAACCTTCACAGCAGCAGGATCTCCATAGCACATTTCACTAACAGTATCATAGGTTTTATCACAGAATCCTAGAATAATTCCATTTGGAAGGGATCTCAGAAGGTCCTCAGCTGAACTCCACTCAGAGCACGGTTAGCTATGAGATCAGACCAGGTTAGTCAGGCGTGTATCTTGTAAAGTCCTGAAAACATTCGAGGATGGAGACAGCTGAACCGATGCTTGTCAGCATGATCCGATGCTTGACTGACCTAACAGTCATCAGACAGACCTCCATGTCACAGAAACATGCAATATAAACATTGAACTAATGTGACACTTTATGTCTGTTCACTCCAGTGGGGTAGGAAATCTGATGCTTTGGTCTCTATTTTTCCACTTAAGTGGCAAACATATGTGACTTACAGACTGTATCATCAAACTGCAATAAAACCTTCTGTGAAAAGCACAGACATTTGAAAAAACAGTTTCCCACTATACAAACACCATATCCATGGTCAACTTGATGGCACAGTCATGAATAAAGTATCCAACCTATTAAGTAATCAGACATAAACCCCAAATATTGACAGCCAACCCCAACACAGTTGTGACAGGGCTTAAACATTCAGTTAAAACACTGAAATTTATGGGAGTGTTCATATAAAGGTTTGCAGGGCTGTATTTAAAACACTAATTTTAGTCTGTTAGACTAAAGTTGTCTAAAGATAGAATCTTTTAAAAAAATAAGTATTACTACAATATGAAAAGCTTTAGTAACACATTGTTGGAAAGCTTGAGAATTCCAGTAACAATTTCTCAAGCACCCCACAACATTTTTCGAACTGTAGGGACTTTAACTAGAATGGACGCAAGTAGTAGAAATCAACATGGAATCACACTATGTTCTGGCATATTTTTATGGCTTCACCACACTTTGTTTAAAGTGACATCTTCATTGACTTATGTGAAATGTTTTACTCCAAATAAACATTTTAAAAGAAGGGTAAAAGGTATTTCTCTAAGTAAAAATATCTGAAAGATACATTTACTGGTTCTTATCATTAATATTTTAGGAAAAAGTTTATTTTTACTTCTGCATTCACTTTAATTATGAGCATATCTTTAATGGCCTAAAAACTTGAATTTCTATATGCAAGACATACTAAATTTTAAAAATAAAAGTGTGTCTCATGCAGATTTTATACATTGAACAAAATTATATACCTGCACAGGCTTTCATGATCTTTTTCAGAGGTCCCATAGTATACATCAATCCAACAAGAATCCCTGCCAGATGCCCAGCAAAAGAAGTCCTACAAAAAAGGAAAATCTTGTCAGTGATGGAAAGGAAGATTTTTTTATTTTTTTCTTAGGGATGCAGAATTTGTTGTAACTTAGAAATTCCCTGAGTGAGACCAAATATAGAGAAATTACTTGCCTGCAGGAATTAGCACCTAGTTTTCTTTCTTCGTAAACTACCTTAAAATTGGTAGTTATATATAGTTACAGAAAAGAATCTAACAAATATCCTGAAGAAGCTGGAAACTAATTTTAATTGCACATTTAAAGGACAGAATACCGTTGCACTAAAAGCATTTAAAGGCTTACTGCAACAGGAAACTAGTTCTAGTCTATAAAAAAGTAAATCCACGGAATTATGCTGAAATGTCTAGGTAGATCTACAAAACCATCTACAGTTTCAAGTGAAAGCATAAATACAGTACTTTCTACTGCACTATCAATACAATCCTACAATTAGTCTGAGAAGCATGACTGCAGATCCATTGCAATCTTTGTAACACATCGCCTTCAAAATTAAAAGAATGAGTGAAATGCTGAGATCCAAATTCTTTTCTATACATACCAACAACTTTTTTAAAGATCATAGTCCATTTGCACATAGAATGAGAAGGCTCTAGAGTCTTTTGAGAAATCAACATGGAAGCATATGTTTACAGTAAATAAGGAGATTTGCTCCAAGTACTGCTATGACTACGGGGTACTCTACAAATTCATAAACCAATTTTCAGCATTCAAATTAAGAGTAAAATCTTTCGAGTTTAACCAGGTTTAAACACTATTTGTAAATTGCTCACCTCTATTATGCAGTTAGAGAAGCCAAAACACTTAGCATTAAGATTTCCTAGTATATGCAATTATAAATAACTCAGTCCACTGGATTTATACTGGTTGTCCAAAGATTCAATATGAGCTTTTTCTGCCTTTATAAAGCAGAAATGAAACCCTTGTTTAATGTAAAGACAGACTTAAACATTATGCTTTTTACATTCCAGTCACAAATTCAGAAGAGTTACACAGATGATAGCATATGTACTCATGACAATATGACTTCCAGGCACCACTGACAAAAGTATACAACTAAATGCATGTGTCACTAGAGGGAGATAAAGATCAAATCTAAATGCACTCTTTTGCCACCTACTTAACCACAAACTTGCATTCCACTATGTAGAGCTGCGGTTCTCTCCCATAAGTAACCAACCATTATTTTTTTTGAAGAGTAACACATAAATGCTGATGTGAAAACTTACATGTAAGGGGTAGCTACAAAAATAAAGTTTACATAAGGAACTAATTTTCAAAACAGATTTTTCAGAAACAGATTTTCCAAATTTGTGAAAAATACATGTCTGCCTTGGAAAATGTCTGCACACAGAAAACATTAAATACTTCATGACGCCTTACTCTAGAAATCACCAACATGAGATTGATTCCCCTATATTTGTGGCATAGAACAAGTTTTCTGCTTCTCTTGATTTACTTGAGCACAACTTTGTTCCACAACACCCAAAATCAAGGTCTTTGTTTGCAATACAGTAGAGTTGTGCATTTACACAATCTGAATATTCAAAAACCTTCAACTTTAAAAAGTCTTGAGGGTGATAATTTCCACTTCATGCCTATTGAATGGGTTAGTGTACTAGACTCCTAAACACTATGGAATGTTTAATTATAAATTATATTCAAGGAGTAGAAACTCAAAATGAAAATGTTTAAACATGGTTTTCTAAATGAAAAATAATATCAGATACACTGTCACACACATATACTATCACTGACATGCAGAAAATTAGTATATTTGACAAATCACATCAAATTTTCACATATGCTGTCATAAAATTAATTGAAGCACGATCAACAGTAGCACCTTGCTACGTGTAATAACTGAGCAAAAGCAATTCTGTAGAGTACAAGACCACCACTTTCCTTCCATTAACAGAATACTTAATGTTACAGCCAAGTCAAGCAAACACTACTTCATTTTAGAACATGTTATAGTGTAATTTACTCAAATGGTAACTTAATACCTTTTTTTGCTAATGTTTGGTATCACTTATAGTATATGAAACATCTTTATAGATATTTTCCAAATGCAACAACTAAAATAAAGATAATAATCAATTTTACCAAAAAAAAGCCATTTTATTAAAAACTTTTAATGCTGTCAAAATTAATAGAAAAACACCAAACCATGCAGCAAAATTCAAAAGTAGTTAACTTGGTTCTTTTCCCAGCTGTTTTGAGGATGGGTAAGTTTCCACAGGACTGTAGGGGTATTTCTATATCCATTGTTAGGCAGGAAAGGAGAACGGGGAGGATGACTCAATCAGTGGACTACAGACTAATCACTATCTTCTGTTCCCAGATAAAACTATTTGATCAACAATTATTAGGAGATGTAATTTGTGTTTTACAACCAAGGTATGAACATCAGAAGCAGAAGCCAGATTTGTCAAGAGCAAGTCAAATCAACCAAAATTCCTCCTTTGACAGGGCAACAAGAGCCTCACGGAAAGGGAGAATTAGCAGCTGTCACACATGCTGAAAGAACGCAGCACTGTCTTACAGCATTTGTCATAAAGAAGGCTTAAAACCCTTAAACTCTAAAACTACACTAAGCAGACCCTTAAGTGGCTGGTAAACCTGACTTAGCACTGACTCATTATCAAACTTAGGATATGAATCAAGTGGATTTCCGCAAGAGCCTATTCCAAATATAATTTACAAATGACAAGCTAAGAGAAGGAGTAAGGGTCACTGCAGATGGCACTGCAATTTAAAGCAACCTTGACAAAATGAAGTACTGGTTTAGAAAAAATAGGGTGCAATTCAATAAAGACAAATATGGAGTTCCAAATATAGCACAGAAATCATCAACTATGCCAACAGGCTAGAAGTGACTGGCTAGTAGGAGAGCTTCAGGATAGAAGCTGGGGCACACAGTGAATTATACAATAAAGGACAGATTGACATATCACACCACCATAGAAAAGACAAGTATTTTATTGGAAATATATAAACAGGAGCACTATCTGTAATTAAAATGAAGTAGCCTTCTGCTCTACTCAGCAGTGGTCTCAGCTGGAGAACTGAGCCTACTTTTTGCATATTGCACAAAAAGAGCAACAAAACCACCAGAGAGCCCACAAAACTTCTGGGAAAAGACTGAAGGGATTACAATCACTCAAGTCTATTGAAGAATTCTCTCACAGACATAATAATCTTAAAACACAGAAAAGACTGTCACAAATAGGAATGAATACACTCTCCACATTCTGTATCCACAGGATAAGGAGTAATGGACACAAGTCACAGCAAGAGATTTAAAAACATTTCAGCAGTAGAACAGACTGCCTGGAGAAACTGGGGGGTTCTCCACCCAGATGAGGCAGAGTCCTCCCAGATCCAACTGGGTTTGGGGCCCATTCTCTCCCATGTTTGTCTCTGCAAGGGAAAGTGAGAGGGCTACTAAGACCCTGCAAAGAGCAAGCAGATATTATTATAGTGATGATCTTAAAAAGTGCAATAGACTAAATATTGATAAATATAAATTATATATACACACGTATATGTTTGCATATAAACAGATACATGTTTGTCCTTACATTATCACTCAGAGCACTTGGTCTGAGATCAGATTCACGTAGATCCTCTATCATTTTACGCAGATCCTTTCTTATTTTATAAAAAGTAGACTGAAATTATTCAATTTAAGTAAATTACATGAAATAACTGTTTTACACATGCAATTAATGTTCTATCCACATGCCTTAGTCCAAAGTGGATACTTCTGTTTCCAATGAACTTAAATATATCCGAACAACTATCCTGAGTAACACTTCAACGTCACTCTTCTTGAGACTTTACTACATTTTACATTGAATTTTAATTTTCAATAGATTGTCTTTTTTAAAAAAAAAAAATCATATAATGGATTTCTTGCCTATGAGGCTGTCTGAGTTTTATCTGCAGACATTAAAGTTAATGGCAAAACTACAACTGTTTTCAGAAGGCAGTATTATATGCAAAATTTAGAACTAAAAGCCATGGATTCTGGCTGAAAAGAAATTAATAAACAGTTTACAAAAAGCACAAAAGTTGTGTGAAGAAGTCTTGTCCAAGGATATATTACCAAGGCTCCTTTCACTTGTATTATGAATTCCACTCTTCTATCTTGTCTAATCCAGAACACTGAGGTTACTCTATTTTCTGCTTTTTATATACAGTAAATAACCCTGGGTATAATTAAAAACACTTATAATATCAGTAACAAAGCAACTTCCATCAGCAACCAATTTCAAAAATAGACTTTTTATGCTATTCATAAGAATGGCAAGGTCTTGACTGGAATGTGTCTTTTACCAGGTAAAAATTGACTGTTATTTTTCAGTTAGACTAGAAGAAACATTCTCATGGCTGCAATATGATAAACTACCGCCTTTTTTCCTGCCAGTTAATAAAGAAAAAATTACGGGGTTTTTTTCACACTACAATTTCCAGATTCTACAATACAAGCTGAACTATGAATGGGAATAAAACCAGAGTTCCTGATTTTTAAAATTGCGTGTTTCTTCTCTAAATGACAATGAGCTTTATCAATATTAACTACTGCTCTCCCTGGTACCAAGAAATTCAAATGATGTCTCATTTAACTTTTTGTTTGAAAATGCAGATATCCCCAGAGATTTTATTTATCTCAGCCATTCACTTCATACTAATGATAATTATGAATATGTCTAAATACTGTTTCCTGAGACATTTGCCATCAAGCTGATGTGCACATGACTTCAGAAAAATCTTCCAAACAGAATTAATCATACTTTTTCATTTGGCCATGTAATTTCCATGAAAACTGCTATCACTAGAGGGAAAACCATTCGGACTGCATTTGCTTTTCATGTAGGAGAGATTCTGACGTCACGGTTACAAACCTCTCAATATTAGCTTTTGCATTACTATTTTTCCAGTATCCTTATAATGAATTCAAATCAGTTCCTCACTATTGGTGAATGTATCCCAAACTGTTTCAATTCTTTGGTGTCAGTCACTTGACTCAAATGAAAACAGAGCAAGAAAGTCTACATCTATCACTTCCATAACTTCTTCCTAACAGCAAACCCCAGTCTGGTAGGCATTATAATTTATGGATTCAACTCTACCACAGGACAAAGCCATTTATTTAGCAACTAAAGTATGTCTTTAGCTTAAGGTAGTGCTGTAGTCTTTTGAAAGATCTAGCTAGGCAGCATGCATTCACTGAACAAGCAAAACAAAGGAATAGTACCAAAGCAACATACTACAAGAATCTAGACTAACTTCATTTTTGAAAAACAATTTTTTGAGACCACGGGAATCAAAGCCGTGTATTTATACACAGTTTATTTCCAAGTTAACACAGGTACAGAGTCACCTGCACGTGACAATTTAAACACTTTGCTACAAAATTTAATCTTGCTTAGAAAGTAGGCCATGTAGTCAATTTACCAGTGCTAAACAACCTACCTGAACGCATATTAAACCAAATTAAATGATTGCATAAGTAAAAGTCAACTTGTTTTACACAGACCTACACAGGAAAATGCCATTGCTTCTTTAAATGGAAATGGAAAACTTGTCAGTAATTTTATAACACATTGGGAAAATAGCATAGAAAAGTGAAAGCTAAGTTTGACAAAGAATGAAAGGCTAAAAAATGGTTCTCATCATGTAATGCCATTCCTGTCAAAGCTGGGGTTTTTTTGGTTGACTGGTTGTTCTCAGCCCATTTGTTCCTGAGGAAAAGTTCTCATCAATAAACAGCATAATAAACAGTTCAACAGTAAATCTGACTGATAACCAGTGATGACTCAGTGATATCCCTAAGCATTAAACAAGTGAGAAATTTAAAAAGCAGATGAAATAGGAAAATACATACGCACAAAAGATCCCATGAGGTTAAGCTCATTAGAGCTATGTGAAATATTTGTATTCACACCAGACACTGTACCAGGGTTAAGACTGAGAAGAGTACAAGGTAAAATAATCAAAATTTAAAACCAGATTTTTCACAGTATGTTCTTGTATTTTCAAACATATATAAATTTTTTTTTGTGGGTTTTGGTTCTGATTTTTTTTAATTAAAAGCTCAGTATTCCTATTACATTTACCTGTTTTGACCGTGATCTGCTTCAAGATTTTAATTTCCTGTGGATTCTTGAATCCAAGCAAAATGAAGCAACAATCAATTGTCATTATTGATTCTTTATACACTACAACTGTATAACATTTCCAATTGTCAGCTATGAATGCTCATGACAATGACCTGCATCTCTATTGCCAAAAGTAGATCTGTTGCTGTGCTCTTGTTCTTGCGTGGGATAGTTTCCAGCTTGCAAAGTCTTCTCTTTCTTTAAGATGAAGAACTCTAACAAGCATCTTAAGTTGCCAAAAAAAAGTCCAACAGAACTGGCTCAGACCAGCACTTATCAATATAATTAAATTAGAAACAGTTACGAAGAGAAACTTGGAAACAAACTTAAGGCTAAAACTAATTTAGAAAATAGAAAAAACTCAAGAAAGAAAAATTACACACTTTATGGATTGCATCATCCACAGATCTGGAAAACATTATCAGACACCTGAAAGTCAGTAACTACAAACACAGGTCAAAAAGAGGCCTAGAGAAATGCCTAAGTCAGTTTTCAGAGGTGCAGTGAGCTACAGAAATTTGAGACATCTTTGGGATCCTCTGAACTCCAGAATAGCAAGTCTCACCATTTCTGACAAGCTGTGAAAAGAGCAATTCTGGACAGTCCAAACCTCAACACTTTTGAAAGCTAAAAAAAATTAAATAACAACTTCTACTCTTCTCCACTCCTAGCTTTCCACTCTCCCATTTTTTTCATCCTTTGTTACTCTTAACTCTCTGAAAAAGAAGTTTGGAAAAAAACTGTAATGTCCACCTTCCAACCCCAAAGTGTCATCTTTGTCAATCTGATAAATATTTGAGTTAGTTTAGAAACAAGCTGAAAAGATAAGCTTTTTCTTTAATAGTGAGTATAGGTAAAGCACCTCCACGCAAAAGGAACAGATGACTTAAGATACCACATGCCCAATTCTGGAAGAGGCATAGAGATTAAACATAAGCTAACTTTTCACATGGCTGTTCTTCCATCAAATAATAACCCCAAGGATTGCTACACAAAGCCTACATCTCAATACTTTGCAGAAGGCAAAGATTAGAAAGATATTACATTTCTTTTAAAATTTCCCCATAACAAACACATTAATCAGAAAGAAAAGCATTCTTCCATTGCTCTTTAATAATAAACAGCAGTATTAAACACATCACCAAATGAAAACTATCTTCAGCTAACAAAACAGCTTATATTTTTCAGAAGAATGTTTTTAATGCACTGAAAACTTTGGGTTTATACTTGTAGTAATGCCATGCAAGTGACCTCTCAGCTCACATTTTTGTTTGCAGTTCTTCTGTCTTTTAACCTAGGATTCCTTGCTGCAGTCAATCATAATGCAGTAAGTCATAAAACAATAAAACCAGTGTTTAACATAAGTAATACCTGAATTCTCATTCTGGTCTACGAAATGTTCTATCTTCTATATCACAGTATCTGGCAAGGATTATGTCCCCACCTCCCCCCTTTTTTTTTTTTCAAAATCTTTCTGAAAAGTGAGAAAATGTATATAAACTGTTTGTAAGTTTGGTGTCTGTACTTCATGTATATTCCCCAGTATGACTGACAGTTATAAAACATCACACAAGAAAATTACTGATTTGCAACTAGAACTCAAGCAATCAACTGCCGAAGAAGAGCAAGGCACTATTCTCACAGAGGTAGGGGTAGATGAACTGTGCTGGCAGAACTGAGGACACAGGTAAATTGAGGGAGATGATCAGCAAGACCATAGGACAGTGAAAATGCATAAAATTCGCGGAATACTGGATGACAGCTTTATCATCAATTAGAAGAGTGACTACAACAAACGGACAGAAGGGATGACAACAGAAATAGCGAGCAAATAGCAGAATGCTGTTGTGCTAATGAAGGCCTTGGCCTACAGTATATTAGTTTGGTTACTTTGCTGAAAACACATTTCCTTGTCCAATAACTTTTGTTATCTTCCCTCAAATACTTAGCAATACCTTCCAAGCACAGTATTTCAGTTTTTTCATTTTGAAATGTGCTCAAAATAAAGGGCGTTAAGGAAAGAAACAGACTGTTACCTCAACACTTAATTGTAGCCCCATCACTCCATTTGGTTACCAGTTAACACTACACATACTTCCTAATACATTTCAAACTACTTCAGATGGCCCAAATCTCTTCTCCTAACTTCGAAATATTAAATGCACTTACCCTGGCGAGATTAAATGAATAGCCACCAGCTCCACCCAACAAGCATATTTACTGGGTATCTGCAATCCAAGGACACTGCTGACTCTTCCTGGATTGTAATGGTTGTTAAGAACTTTTAAAGCAAACAAGACTCCTGCAAACAAGGGAAAAAAAAAAATCATATAAAGAGAGAAGAAGTACTTGTACCCAAACAATAAAGAAATGTAAACAACTTTACTACTTAAGAACCATGCAGTTTCACAGCACCACAAAAATACCGTTGCGTGCCAGAACAAGAGTTCTAAGCTGTTTTTCCAGTGATACGTTTCAGTGACTTAAAAAAAGGATAAAAAATTTACATATTTGTTTAACAGCCAATTCTAAGTTGCTTTTTAATGTCTACTCACTATTCAAAACAATACAAACTTAATTTTAAAATGGCAGTTCTAGTTGAAATAATTGACAAAATTATTGAACTAAAAAAAAATGTTCCATGAATTGAGAAAACTATTACTGAAAACAAGACAGATACATGTGAAGCTCAACAGTAGGCTCAGATTCTGAATTAATGGAAAATCATCTTACATATACTCCAGAACCACTTGTTTCTGAAAAAAAAAAACAGTAAATTATCTTTAATCAAAATAAATAATCATTAATTTCTAATTGACTGCAACTATTTTATCATGCAAGCAGTAGTCAATATGACAGAATGAAATTCACACAATTTACTGGAACTTTCAAAATGTTTTTGAAAAAGTTCCTCTCGAGAGAAAGCTCACAGTTGCCTGAAAAAAAAAAAAATCTGAAAAATTGGCAAGTCAAAGATTCGACATGGAAAAGACAGCAGAGTTGAACATCAGTACAGATAGACTAAATAAAAACATGAAAAAGGTTTCCCTCCCCTTCTAACACCATAGAAAACAAAAGATAGCAAAATTCCTTAATCTATCCAGTGATGCGGATATCATTATTCTAGGATCAAATATAAACAGCAAAGACACACTGCACACATGCTCATGCTATTTGCTGCTGATAAAACTGGACTTGTTCCAAAACTATACATTTTCTAAAGGGGAGAAATATTCAGTAGCAGCAGCATAGTTTAGGAGTCCTCACTTTTTTTTTTTTTTCTTCAGGTTTTAAGTGTCCATTGGAACTGCTGACCTGGTGTGATCTACTCTAGGTGGTCCTGCTCTGGCAGGCGGTTGGACTAGATGATTTTCGAGGTCTCTTCCAAGCCCTAACACTCTGTGATTCTGTGTATAGCCAGGTTCCATCCAGGGGTAAAAGGGGCATGTCTGTTTCATCCATTTAAAATGAAATACAATCTAAAAATCCAAGCACCCTAAAATTCTTAAAAGCCTGTTAAAGTGAATGGGTCATAAATATGCATACAGATCAGCTCTTTAAAGAAATAGTTATTAAGAAAATACCCATATTTCAACAGCTGTTCCATATACCTGCCACTTGCCTCAACTGAAGAGAAATTACCTATGCTGAAGGTCATGTTGAAAATGTCGAAGGTTTAGAAAGATCAACTATGGATCTCAACCATTTCACCTTACAGGGAAATCTCAACACTACCCAATTATACAGTAGTATTATATTCCCAGTTATGTAGTACAAAGCAGTTTCATCCTAAATTCTTGAAACATTCACCGTTCTCATTCCTAGTAAGAACTGGGTTGATACTAAGCTGGTTTAAGGCATGGACTGACAGGAACATACAGGAAAAACCTCACGTGGATGGTGCATTATATAACTGAATACCCGAAACAGATACTTCTTCACAACTTACAGATCTCAACTTCTCATCCTACAGTCTAGAATGATACAAGAAAAGAGGTTCAAAAAGAAGCTTGATCGCAGCACCTCCCAGTTGTTCACAGAGAATAGTATTACAGAGGACACTTCTCCCACAAATCACCCAGTAGTAATTCGAGTACCATATAAGAGCCAACCCTAGAAAGCCCAGCTGAGACCGGACTGAGTGCACATATTTCAGTCATTTTACCACTAATAAGAAATATTCAGTAGGGTTCTGCAGTCACTGGTAGGGAACAGCAAGAGTGAGATGCTCCGCAAAGGAGAGGTATCCAAAGGGAACAGGGAGGCAGGCAGGCAGCAGCCTCCTCAGTGGGGACCCCCAGTCCCACAGTCCTTGGGCAGGCTGGTGACAGTAAGCAGAGTGGGCCAGGAGCCACAATCACCAGGCATATCCTCCTGAGAAAGCAGGGCCAAAGACAGTCAGGAAGTCAAATCAGGCCCCAGGTCAGAGAGGGACATGGCCAGGCACAAATGCAACGCAGGACAGACAGGGATGACACAGAGGGCTTGAGCTTAAAGGCAGCTGCTGAGCAATGGGGTAAAAGGCCCCCAGTGAGGCTTCTCTCAGCCATCTCACATACTTCTTTTCCCACTAGTCTGAGGTGGGTCGCAGCTACCCCATATCAGAGCTGGCCTTCAGCACAGGTAGCCAAACCCCTCAGGGGAAGGGGCTGCACTCAGGGCCCCTGCAGCCACCATAAAGGCCAGTATAAGAACTGGGCACATCTCATTACCAAAAGGTGGGTGACCAGAGAACACCTGAAGCCCCAAATGAGCAACTACTAGGATGTTCCAATGCATACAGATTCAAATACCACAAGGAACCCTCAGAGACATTGAAGCACCTTTCTCAGAGGCTGAAAAGAAGGGCTTTCCTTCTAATGCTAGGTCCCAATGACAGCAAGGAAAAAACCCTACATATCTAGAAAAGCAGTGCTACTTCTCCACTTGACTGCAGGTTTTTTTAAAGGGAGGAGTTCATTGACTTGAAACTCTGATCTCCTAAATGAGAAGACAAGACCATTACTGGAAGATGACCAAAATCAGGTGTGTGGATGGTTCTAGCGGAAGCAAATCTAGGGGAGTCTCTCTAAAGACAAGCATGAATGATTTATAATTTGAAGATTAAAATTTTAAAGTGATAGGCTTTTCTAGACCCGCCTAACAAGCATTATTGACATCAGAAAATGAAAAGCTTCAGACTTCAAATAGTCAGTGACGTTAAACAGAAAACATAATTCTACTGGGATGATTGTATTTTTCATATTCTGCTAAAGACACTGCTAGTCACAAGAACATGAACCAAACCCCGTACTGTTCATACCCAGAGTACATGCTTTAAATTAAAAAACAGGGTAACTTTACTGACGTAACAACCACACACATGCATATAGATGTACACCTATCCATTTTCCGCATTCAACAAATACTGTTACATAGTACCTATGAATACTAATTTTGTATATGTAAATATATAAACCAACTATGTGCCTTACCTGAAAAACCTACAGCACAATTCATTCCATACAAAGGATCATCCAGAATTTTCACAAGCATGAATTCCAGCAGCATATAGACAACTCCAATCAGCACTGAAAATACTGCAATTATGTATGCAAACCATATGCTCTTAAGCTTTTTTTCCAGCATTATCCCCTTCCAAAGCATGGAAATCATGTTATAATACAAATGCCAGTCATCTGCATGGTGGACAGGAGAAAGCAGTAAACGCTGCCAGTTCTTTCTGTAGAAGCCTTCATTTACACTGATACACACTTCAGGCAGTGGCCCCACAGGATTCAGAAAGAGAAAAATATTCAGTGCAAGTACCCCAAGGGTAACAGCAGGAATGTTCTGGAGTCCAACTTGAGAAATTTGATAAAGCAGCAAAAGCAGTCCAGCATTGACTCTTCCCTGCCTTCGCTGCATTATTACTTCTTATTCAAAGAAATGTGAAGATTATCCCAATTTCTAGTCTTTCGTTTGAATTCAAAACCATACAAGTTCTGGAAATTCTGAAAGAAAAAAGTAACTGCATTATTATACATACACAGGGGTGTTTTCAAGCTCATCACTGCTTCTTTTTAAACACAGCAAATTCTTCAAGCTAATCAGATGACATCTCTTTTTTAAATTAGAACAAAAATTCAAATAAGAAAAAAAAAAAAATCACAATTTTTCAATTGGTATAAGACACAAAAGGTGTTTATACAGGTAATCCAAACAAGCATTGCAAGAAAAAGGAGCCTGCAACCTCTCTTTCATGTCCCTGGACAGGCTTTACTTCATCTATTAAATCCCCAGGTGTTCTAGACATGTTCTCATTAATATCTTGATTCACTCAGCATTACTAAAATTTCACTAAGGAAACCAGTTACAAATTCTTCTCTAGAGTCTTGGTTTTCAGGCTTCCTATCTTTTCCCACATATCTAAATTTTTTTCATTAACATTTTTCCATCTTTTACAAATATTCAATACAACGTAAGAATGAAAATTAGAAGTTATAATTCCAGAAAGTAACAGAGACACAGCTAAGTACTCCTAAATATAACCTTTGAAAATTGTTATTGCTTTCATAGTGACTAGAAACGAAAGTTTAATTTAAAAGTATAGGATGGAGAAAAATACCTGTAGTAAGCAATCACATAGAAGAACGGCACATAAAATTTACAAACAGTTGTAGCAAAATATCCATCTCTGCCCTATTTATGTCAGATAAAAGGGGGGATTAAAAAGGGCTACAAAAGTTCTAGATCTAGCTAGAAATAGGGTTACTATGACAGAAACAGAAATGGCACCAAGTGAAACTGCGCGAGCCTGTAGAGAAGGGAGGAAGCTGCACTGGAGAACACGGCACAAGGTGACATGGAGCTTCTAGAGAGCCGAGCCACCTGCAGAAGACAGGAAGAGACACCCAGTTCCAAGCAGCTTCCGAGGGCTACCTCAACTTAGCCTTACTGTTTTAGTTCTCAAAACTCTCCAAGTGGCATAACAATAGCATGGCCACTCTTCTCCATCTCTAGGTTGTCACTTCTTTGCTCAGCTATTGAAGATAATTCAATACGTTATTTCATACATAAATATCAACTACGCAAAGCCAGCAAAATACACTTACTCTTCAAAACTTTGCCATCAGGTTTCAAATGAAACTTCCTGAAATACCTAGATATATACAATCACCCCATTTACCCCCTTTTCCATTATATTGTAAAATAATTAGAGTAAGTTGCTAACATACTAACTTTTTATTTAGTTTAAATTCCTTCCCAATTCATCACATCAAATGCTTCCTCTGTTAACATTTTTATTGGATAAACAAGCTACAATCTAATTCTTCTGGAGGACAGCAGAAAAAAAAAATTACACCTTTTATAAGGATAAAAAGACAACAGCTCAAGATGCCAGTTTAATATTCCATGTTATGTCTATTAGGATTTACTAAGTTTCCCATTTCTACAGACCATTGGTATGCCTGCAAACACTTTACCAAACACTTTTCTTTAGGTATTCAGAGTATTATTATGAATTTGATTGGGTTGCACCACACAGAGTAAGTGAACACATGGAAAAGAAGCAAATCACCTCCGAATAATGTGAACCTGTAACAGCAAAAGGAACTACGAAACTTGCACAGGGCTGAACATCAAAGATCATCATCTAGGGAGCAGCCTGCCTCCTCTACTTCTGTCTACATGAGAGCAGCATATACTTCCATGCTAGTTCACATGTATAATTCACATCTAATAGTTAAGTTTAAGTTACTGTAGTCTCTGGATTTCTCTTTAAATTGAATTTATGCTTGTTATAGCACTTTAAGGAAAAAAAAAAAAAAGCCACCCTGGTAGCATCCTCAAAACAACTGTAGTAGGACAGAATGCAAGTAAATGTGTTTGCTACATTAAAACGGAAATTCACTGCTTTTTTTCCCCATCTCTAAAGATGCTACATCACATCTAACTCTTGCCCAAAACATAGTGGAAACAGCAGAAACACATTTTATACCAGGCCTCTTCAACATACAACTAAGTATAATGGTGCCTTTAAAAAAAAGTTTCTAATCCTCACAATTTAACTAGAGACCTCAGCTGTAGTCCCTACAAAGTTCAAATGAGCCAAGACATCTTAAAGTGTAAATTGATTGTTGCAGTTGATAATTAATATTGTCAGCCTTTGACATTTTAATGTCAATGTTACAAAAAAAGTACTTGGATAATCAAAAGTTTAATCAACGTCATTTTCTTTTTCCACGCTACATGCTCTGATACCAGGTATACCAACAGCCCCAACCTGTTCTTACATGCATCTGCACAAATCTCTGATTTTTCTTGTACCACTAACACAGCTACATTTTCTCCACCACAAAACAGTTGACATAAAAACTGTTAGAATTTAAAAGTCAACATCATTTAAATGCAAGTTATGTGGAAACCCCAAAATCTTGCCATACCACATTCTTCAAATTGCCAAATACTACAGTCTTAATTTTTTTTTATTTTTATTTTTTTTTAAGTTTCCACCCCCTCTTTTGGTACTCTTTAATTTCCAGTTTAAATACTTTTAACATACACGCACCTAGGAAAAGAAACGCTCCTACAGCATGTACCTGTACAATAATCACATAACATGACCGGGAACGGTTTACACCACAATTACAGCAGTACTATGTATTATAAATCATTCCCATTATTAGGAGAAATCAAAAGATGCCAGCCAAGACACATTATGCGCTTGATTGTAAAGGAAGAAAATATAAGAAAGAAAACAGTAGTTATTTGAGAGCCTTCTGGAATGCAACTCACTTAAAATATATAGAGCCTTCAACTGTTTGAACATTCTTCCTCAGCCTCTACTCTGTGTATTAAAAGTCTAATGAGGCTTGAAACAACGAAGCACTCACACCTTTTTTCTTTTTTTGAAAACATGCCACCCACTTCATAATGTACAAATTTCCAGAACAGATTTGAAATGGACACTTGTCTTGCATCTAGGCTGCCATGTGTCTGCATTTTTGTCACATATTCAAGATAAATGTCTGAACTAAACATTCTTGGAATTTGTTTGTTTTGTACTAAGCAAGTGCAAAAGCATTTAAACTTTAATTTTACTGTGACAACCATAAAACATCATGACTTCATATTACTGAAGAATCATGTAATAAAGTAAATATTTTAGTAAATACCAGTTAAAATGAAATGTTACACTGTTCTCCTATAGCTGTAATTTGAAGTTAGAGGAAAAGAAATCTCCCTGTCCTCTTGCTCCCTGCAAAATGGACAGAACTACCCTAAAATTTTGATTTATGTTTATGTGAAGCAAAATCTAGCCCATTGTCCTTCTCCTTAAAAAAATAAATAAATTAAAACCCAAAAATCCCACTGTGACATAAGCCTAGACTTTTATGACTAGACAGAGACATATAACCTCCTGTTCCCACTGACGGTGAATACAGCCGTGATCTACAGATTTTGCCGTAATCAGCACAGCACATCCTGATGTTCAGATCCATCACCGACCTTGTCCCAAACTGCTTTGTTCTTCTCATGGCTTTGCAAAAATGAATTGTAATGGAGGCGCCTGAGCATTGTATAGCTCTTCACTGACAGAAAAAAATCCCAGGGTTACTCTTTCAGTTCAGAGCAGGAGTATGGTTTTGAAGTGAATTTCTCCACTGCCCCCAGCGACTTCCCTGTGGTTCACATCATGCTGTGGCCTGAGTGTGCATGAACTAGTCTCCCTTCAGATGAAACTAAACCAGAAGACAGATTCCAGGAAAGAACCAGTGCACTCCAGGTAAAATTTGGCACTCAGCCTACACGTCCAGCTTAGAGCTAGACCAATGTAAGAAACCACTGGAAATGCGTAAAGGGTGGATGTCAGATCCTGCGCACACACCGACTGACTGACGCTACAGATAAGCCTCAACAGGGCCAGCTACCTGTCTACAAAGGCACAGCCTCAGGGTACAAAGACCTACCCAAGTAAAGACTGTTACAGAAGCAGTGTTTTTAGGGCAAAAGAAGAGTCCTATAAAGGAAACAGAAGCAAACTGTAAACCCTTTTACTATTGCCCTCAAACTTTGGAAGCCGGGGTGGTGGAGAAGGTAGGCGTAACAGGAAAAAAACAATGCAAGAAAAAACTAAGAAATTTGAAGCATAATGAATCATCCTGTTTATATTTAATATGTATGCAAGGAGAAGATCAACCACAAGCTGTCAGTTACAATAAGCTTTGAAACATACAGTCAATTATGTAGTTCATAACAAAAGACAAGGTTCTGACACAATTATAAAAGTAATTGCTTCATAAAGAATGACTTCCGGATTAATCAAATGTGCCTTTAAAGGGCATAATGTGCTTTCATTCACAAAGGAATACTGAACTTTAAACTGAAAAAAACACATTTCAGAATTTGGCATGAGAAGTCATACATGTGTAATATAAATGTTTTAAAATAATTTAAGTCGGTAACTACCCTCCTGAAAGGAAAAAATGCAAAGTTAAATATCAACATAAAATGACTGCATAAAAGGCTATGTCACAAAGTTTTGTTTGTTGCTTTTTTTTAATATGCCAAATTTTATTTTAAATGTCCTCCAAAGTTTTCTGTGAGAATAATGAAGTTCCTCTGTCTCTTATGTCTGCTTCAGCATGAAAACTGACAATGTTTTACAATTCTTTAATCCTCTTAAAGAAGTCATTAACAAAATAAGCTTTTAAGCTAATAACTTCAACTTAAAATTGAAAATCGTGTTCTGAATGGTGTGACAACTACTATTCACAATAAAATACATACATGTTAAACAATACATGCCAAGAATACTTTTGGACACCTTATCCCCAAATAAATTAGCAGCTTTCGGAGGAAGGAACAGAAGGGACTAGGTCAGATCTCATAATCTGCCTAACATCTTAGGTATGAAGATCTGAGACATTTAGGCTTTTAATTGCCTAAGTAGTTTGACTACTGCTATTTAATCTAAAAAGAAAAATACTTAAAGGCTGCAACCTGTC